GTTCTAACAAGCTCCTTGATTTTGCCATGAAGAGGTACCACTGATTTGCCCAGGGTTTCTTCATAACTTCTGAACTTGGTAATTGTCTGCTTGATGTAATTGAAATCATCACATAACTTACCCAATTCAGTGCCCATAAAACTCCCCTCAGTCTGAGGTGATTCTTTGATAGATTTCAGAACTTGAGAAAGATCATCGTGTAAATCAGTTATGGAATCCATTACTTGCAGGAAGGTAAAAGTTGTATTGGGATTTTGCTGCTGCAGGGAAGTTGGGGAAGCCATGGCTGACTGAGTGAATGAAACACCAAGAAGATGGATCTGAGAAATATGCCAAGAAATGCACAGTTTTCACCTACACCTCTTATGGGGATGCATTAATTTCTATAAATATAACATAATAATGCTTGACAAATTGACATCCACAAAAGTAAATGCAGCCAAGTCCAAGTCAATAGTCAACGTTTATTTTTATGATGCCACCATCTGGAGTATATCAATACAATATTACCTTGTTTATCTGTTTGTTTCTGAATTTCTTTTGATATTTCCAGCTGTTTGTTTGGATTCATCCCAGCTGAGAATAAAATAATATAGGGAAGCACTGGTCTGTTGTGATTTCTGGTTTGTGCATTCTTCCGTGATATTTCCAAACAGGGTTTATAATGTTTTTGGCTGTACACAATTACATATATATATATCTCTCTCTCTCTCTCTCCCTCTCTATTAATATACATTTCTTTGTCCATCAGAAAAAAAAAAAAAAAAAGGAACCAATACATCATCATGAAAGTGGGTTGCTCGACGGGATTCCCAAAATCTGTTGTGATATTTTTTCTTACAGAAAAAAAGGTCTGTATCCACTAACAGATGTTATAAAATAATTTGATTTTAATTTAACTTGATTATCATTAATTAGCATAACTGTGGTAAACATGAATTCAATAAATATGTAAACTATGGATATAAACTTAAAAAAGTTAAGCACGGAGGGGATGAAAGGAAGCAAAAGAGCACGTACTTGTTAAATTTTGATGTAAATTAGTTCTGGTAATAGGTAACATAATCCAATCACACGTGACAACATATATTCTTGATTATATTTCTTTAAAAATAAAAAATAAAAGTAAGATTTTAGCTAAACAACAGACAACAAATGACTAGCTGTATGGTTCACTCACTCGTTATAAAATAAGAATGAGAATATTATAAAAATATGTTAGAAACTCGAATCAAAATTGTACTTAAAATTCTAAATTGACTCAGTATCAAATTAAAATAAGATATAATTTATGATTCTTTACTTCACAATTATAGAATAAAAGCCTATAGTTGTATAATTAAACTATATTGAATTAAATTGATTTGATTATGCACGAAATATGTAAACCATGATTTCTTTGTAAATATTAAATGATTAAGAATAAAAAGTAATGTTTTAACCAACAAAATGTAAAAATAATATTACTACTGAACTATTTAA